CCTATAAATGGAGGTTGAGAGGAGAGGCCAAAGTGTGAGTAAGTGAGGAAGAAAACCGTGAACCAAAGAGTGCGAGAGATGTGAGGCGGAGAGACCGTCTCCCTCGGTGTGAGCGAGGGAGACGGGTGAGTGGCTGAGTGAGGAGAGTGTGAGCTCCTCCTCTATTGTAATCTTTCTGTAATCTCCTCATTGGTATAGTGATAACCGGTTACTCTCCCGTGGACGTAGGCATTGGGCCGAACCACGTAAAATATTGTGTCTCCTTGTGTGTGGGTGTGTTTTTCTGCTTGCAATGATTTCTATAAGGTCTTGGGCGGGATCCCAGATCCCAACAGTGACTAGCTGGTCATCGATAATGAACTTTACCCTTTGGTGCAACGTAGCCTCAAGCCTGATCCTCATTCATCTACGACTACTACATACTACTGTGATGATGTCAGTGCATTTGATAAAACATAAACATACTAGACAGTAAATCAGACATGTTATCCAAGGAATCCTATGCCTCCACATTTACAGTTCGGTAACTTCACAGTTCTCTATTTTTTTGTTTATAAAAAACAGAAAACATACATATGTTTATTTTTTTCTATAAATAAAAAAATCATAGACATGTTTTCAAAACAAACAAAAACAAAAAACAAAAATGTGTGGTGAGTTGCACAAGGGAGTGACCAGAGGAATGGAGGGTTGCCAGAGGTAGTGGCCACCAGCCGGTAGAAGGGAGGTGAGTGAAAATTTATTTTCAAAATTTATTTATTTATTATTATTATTATTTTTGAGTCCTAAAATTCTGTTACTTCTGAAAACTGTGTAAAGCCACTAAGAATTAAAATGCCTCCTTTTACTGCTATATTTTAATCATAATTTTCCCTGCTTTGAATTTAGTTATTTTACAGAGTCAATCAACTGTTTTGTTATGCAGAGAAACTTAACAGCTCCAGTGCAAAGAGAAGAGTGAGGATCATAACCATCCCTATATCACTTGTGGGAGTGGTTCTCCTAATCCTATTCCTCTTCTTCCAAGTCAGGAATAAAAGAAAGCTCAAGAGAGTAGGTAATGTAATGAATAAATTTTTATATTAAATCTGTTTACTAAATGATCTGTCATTACTAAATGATGTTTCAATTTGACTTCCTATGCCACTTGTCCTATTGGCATCTTGTATCCCTAAATTCCTTTGCATCCCTATTCCAAAACACCCGATCATTGAATTATGTCTGGAGATTTTCATATCTTGAGATTCTTACATGATCTAACTATTGTGAGTACTTTGAGATTATGACATGGATGAATTTCGGGACGGAGTATCTAGGCCCTCATTCTACACCTTAATTTAATCCACCAAAACATTCTACACCTTAATTCTCTCTCCCCCCCCTTGTTAACAAGTATTTTCCCCATGGAGGAATGTCCAGTGGACAGTCCAAAGAACACCATTGGCATCATAGAAGAGTTCCAAAACCAATGAACAAGCTCTGCATGGCTCATAGGGACTTCCAAATGAAATCAGAATGATTTTAAGGACTGAGCTGTAAGAAATGAAATAGTACAACAGATGACATCCATTTAAGTAGGCAGATAGATGATTTCAAACAAATTTTCAAAATTAGTTGGGGTCTAAGAAGCACGGACACATGACACAACATGAACACGTAGATACGTAAATTTTCAAAAAATACATGACACGACACATTGGGAATACGTTCAAAACATATATTTTTATATTTTTATTATATGTCTATTTTAAATATTTAATATGAATTTTATGTCAAATATTTAATTTTATCAAATTTATCAGCCTTAGGTATGCTATTTTAGTAAAAAAAATTAAAAATTTTAAATTTTTTTTTTGAAAAAATAGTATTCAGCACGTCCCTAGCGTGTCCCAACATGTCCCAGTGTGTCCAACTCTTTCCAGCATGTCCGACACGTGTCCGGAGTGTGTCCATGTCTGACATGTGTCGGACACCTGTACGCGACCTCTGGAGAGGTGTCTGTGCTCATAGGTTGAATTGTTTTTGTTTCTGAAAACACGAAAGATGAAAACAAAAACCAAAAATGAAAAACATTTATATATCCGAAAACATAACCAACCAAATTTGTAAGGTTGTGACTATTGGCATAAATGGTAGTCCAAAGCTTCATTTACTTACATGAATTATACTCTGCAGGAATGACTAGATTCAATCCAGAAAGAAACTACAATGATGAAAACGATAGAAAAGATATAGAATTACCACTATTTGACTTTGCTACAATATCAAAAGCTACAGACGATTTTTCAATAAGCAATAAGATTGGAGAAGGCGGCTTTGGACCTGTGTACAAGGTATTGTTAATATTCATACACAATTATGCAGCATCAGAAGGAAAATAGTTCACGCTACCCATTGGGCATGGTAACATTTCTATGCACCGAGACCAATTTTTGTGTACATAACAATCTACCACTAGCTTTCCTATCACTTTCTCTCAAATTATGGCACAAAGCTCGTCATTCTTATGAAAATTTAAGTCAGCACTAATGCTTTCGGAAAAAGGTGATTTGGCTTAACCGTAAAGCTTGTCATAGTGTCTTGGTGGCACAAACTTGAGTCACAGAAACAACATTTCCAGAAATAGGAGTAAGACTGCGAATATCTTATCCAATAAGATAAGGTCTCATTTTGATGTTTTGGTTGAAGATCACCCAGTGTTTTTAGAGAGAGAGAGAGGAAAAAAAAAAAAGGGGTCTCCAAACCCAATCCACAGTTAAAAGTTAAGTAAAAAATGGTCTTTTTACAAGATGTATATAATCCAATGGGGTATATAGAAGTCCACAGAATATTAGCTTCACTTGCACAATTGGAAGAAAAAAAATAAAGGAGGTACAGCAGAACACATTACTTCAACCACATTGCCTGTGGAACTGTGGCTTTGCTTTTTGTGACACAGTCAATTATATTAGTGCATCTATTCAGAACACATGGCATAGATTTGCATAGGGAAAATCAGGGGAACGTGAAAACAAGCAGAATATTGATATTTTCAGGGTACATTGGAAGAGGGACAACAAATAGCTGTGAAGAGACTATCAAAGAGTTCAAGACAAGGACTTGATGAATTCAAGAATGAAGTGTTATGTATTGCCAAACTTCAACATCGAAACCTTGTCAAGCTTCTAGGATGTTGCATTGAAGAAGAGGAACGGATGTTGATCTATGAATATCTCCCCAACAAGAGCTTGGATTCCTTTATTTTTGGTTTGTCTCTCTCTAAACTTCTATACATAGCATATTTTTTAGAACTTCTCAACTGTGTTAAATTCGTTTCTATGATATTCACAAATTTAATTAAGCAAAAGCATGATAAATTGGATTAAAATTTGAGCAGATGAAAAGCAAAGCATGTTATTGGATTGGCCTAAGCGCTTCAACATTATCAATGGGATCGCTCGAGGGCTTCTCTATCTTCACCAAGACTCCAGACTGAGAGTCATCCATAGAGACCTAAAAGCTGGTAATATTTTACTAGATAACGAGATGAATCCAAAAATTTCAGACTTTGGCATGGCCAGAAGTTTTGGAGGCAATGAAACTCAAGCAAATACGACTAGAGTAGTTGGAACATAGTAAGTATATTTTCAGTTATGAGGGAGACTACTATTATTGATCATGTTATGCAAAAGTCGAATGGTTCCAATTATAAAACAATAAATAGAACAAAGCAAACACACAGATCTAAGCTTCAAACCTCCACCTTTTGTAAAAAGCCCTCTGCAGTAAACCTGAGTGCATAGTGAAAATATAGGACACCTCACAAGAAGTTGGGACATTAATTTCTTTTCACATTGATTCTTCCAGTGGTTACATGTCTCCAGAGTATGCAATTGATGGACTCTTTTCCATAAAATCGGATGTCTTCAGTTTTGGGGTATTGGTGCTTGAAATAATCAGTGGGAAGAAAAACAGAGGATTTTATCATCCTGACCACAACCTCAACCTTCTAGGGCATGTAAGCATCAAAACTACTGTTTACCTAATCTCTCAATGCCAGGAAACAAAACTTACTGACAAAATGTTATGCAATTGTCCAGGCATGGAACCTCCACAAAGAAGGCAAGTCTTCAGAATTAATTGACACGTCAATGGCAGATGCATGTAATCATCCTGAAGTTATTCGGTCGATCCATATCGGTCTATTGTGCGTGCAACAGAGTCCAGAGGACAGGCCAAGCATGTCATCTGTGGTTCTCATGTTTTGTACTGATATGGTATTGCCTCAGCCGAAGCAGCCCGGGTTTTTCAGTGAGAGGAAACTTCTCGACGCAGATTATTCTTCAAGTAAGGCTGAATCTCATTCAGCCAACCTATTAACTGTTACATTTTTGGGTCCCAGATAAAAGACATTTCATGTTGAAGTTTTGGTCCTTTGGAACATATGACATTATTATTCCAGCATTAGACATTTTTAAACAGAAGAAAGGAAAACAGTTCCATTTTGTACATTTCTTTCTCAATAAGAATGTTTAGGAATTAAAATAACAAAACTTCTTAGCACTCTAATCTAAAAAATACCACTTTTATGACTTCATATCATCACTGATGTGATGAGAGTGAGCATTTCAAAAATCAAACATGATGGTGACGATGTCAGACATGCATCAAAATATAGTCATTGCAATTTTATAATGATGCAATGAATAGCTCGTTAGCAACACTGTTGTGAAGAACTTTCAGAGGATAAATATAATGTATGAACCTAAATATATTCACCAAAATTGGAAAGAAAAAAATATAGTTGAAATGAAAAATATCAATAAATAATGGGTACTTATGTTGATCATGTTCCATGAGGGTTTGCCAAATTCTCCCCCCTCCACACCCCCCTCCCCTTTTCTCTTTGTTTTGTTTTTCTTCTGGGGATATAATTGCTTATTCTACAAATATTGTGCTGACTTAATTATCACCTACTCTGTCAAAACTGTCCTCTAAATGAATGCTATCTCAAGACTTTAGTCATCTATATATGTAATTAGATCATTATTAATCAGGATTTGCACTCCATCACCCTCAACTCCAATTATAAATAAATAAATAAGGGAAAATTATAAGCATCCTTAATTGCAGAAAATTTATCAAAGGTCACATAAAAAGATTAGAAAAGATAATTACTAATGGGGGATAGAGTTTAATATAGAACTAGAAGAAAAGAGAAAGGAAAAAAAATTTACATTGTTATAATGTCATCGATCCATCAAGATCCATCAAAAAGCAAACGCACATGTACACGCGCAGACAAGCATACATGCATAAGCCTTCACATTTGAGCAGGTAATCTTCCAGATTTAAATACATACAGTTGCAAAAGCCTTCTCATTTGAGAAGGTAGTCTTCCAGATTCTATGGATTTGTAAGTCCTTCAAGCACCTGCATCATTTAAAATTGATTTCAATGATTGCCAAATCCAACCAACTATGCCCAGCAACAGTTTAGAAAAAAGTCAGCACAACTAAATTATTTGATAGTTCCAACTTCTCAAACTCCTGATAAATGATCTAGAATAAGAGGAAAACACTAATTGGAGATAGCATCTCCACTTAATCATTAAAACCACCAAATGATGCATAATCCCAAAAGTAGTTCCAAGTTGGCACTAATTTGTTGGAAACAAACTTGAAACTCAAACAAATTCACGGCTCCGCCAATAAAAGGATGAGTTGTGTACCCAAAAAAAATTGGGGCGATGGTACCTTGGAATTCCCCTACTAATGCAAGCAATAAGTTTGAAAAGAGTAAAATTATATTAGTGATAGTGTTTGTATATAGTTTAGTTTCAAGCCGAACACATTTGGGGCCAATTGGAACTAAAAACAAACAAAAAAAACAGACCACAAAATTTAAAACAAAAAAGAAGGAAGGAAAAATTAGGACACTCAAAAAGACACAAACAAAAGTTATAAAATATCTCGTCAGTGCTACATTTTTCCAATAAATTTCCATAAAGTCCGTTTAACACTATGTTGAGAGTACTGATTCCTCTGGTAATAGAACTCGGCGGAAATTTCATGTGACAAGTAGGACTTAATGGGAATTTTAAATAAAAGTAAATGCTAGAATTTAAGTACAAAAAACAAGAACAATCAAAAGTAGTCATTCATACCACCAAAGCCGGTCCCAAAAAGATTCAAGCAATTCTTATTCCCCTCTTGATCAACATTGCAGTATACACAAACTTCTCCCTTGACAAACATTTGGGCCCATTATGTTCTATTGCTTTCATTCTCTTCTTCACTTGAACATCCAAACCTGTAGAATACTGAGAACCAGGGATGGATTTTGGGACTTGAATTTTATTATTTGACTTCACCACAGACGATAAAGCACAGGTGTTGTCGAAACAGGTAGTCGAGACTGATGACTAATTACCATCACCAGGTATTTCTTTCTGCTCGAATAAGAGACGAACAAGTTATACATATTATAATAAATATACATAGATATAAAATTGTAAATGAAAAATGCAAATCATTAAAACATTTTGCATCGTGTTATAGATCAAAAAAAATAATCACAACTTTCATAAACAGCTCCTTTCTGAAACAAATTCATGTTCTTATAAAGTGATAACTATGAAATTGTTGCAAACTGTATCATAAGAAGAAAAAAAGAAAGCGAAAAATGTTGTTTAGCACAAACCATCCAAGAAACAAGACTCCTAGTAATACTTGAACCAATAAAAATAATAGCAAAAAACAAAACAAATATCATTTTCTAACCCTTGGGGGAAAAAAAGCGTTTGTTTGCTGCTGCATGGGCAAATGAGGTGAGGGCTCCACAATTGAGATGACTTATCTTCTGTAAGAAAACATATCAGAAACTCGCATACCATTTGTATTTCTTCATTATTACTTATGAAGTAGAAGTTAGATTATTTCAATTAGAACTCAATAAATTACCTAATCGAGTATCTATGTATTTGGTAGAGGTCATTGCAGAATCGTAGGAAACGATCCTGTCAAGAAAGAAAGCTACTCCCAAGTGTCAATTAGCCATTCAATGACATAATAGTTTAGTTATACTGAACCACAAAGGATGATCAATAAATGTACGTTAAAAAAACAAACACAATCCAGAAAAGACATTCATACGTTAAATATTAGGCTCTCAAACCAGTCTCTAATGTTAAAATCAAAGTCTCTAGCCTTCAAGTTAAAGCCTGCTTCCACAAGCCTCAGAGCAACATCTTTCTCCACGTGTTCTCTCTACACCTATAAGGAGCACCAAATGATTACCTTATGTAATAATGTGCTGATATGCATTACTGCACATGTGAGAACAAGTTTATTACCTTAACAACTTACAAACATCAGCTTATATCCACATGAGGAAGCTCAGATATCCATCTGAAGAAACAAAAGATGAAAATTAGCATGCAAGATACAAAAATTTAGATGACAGAACGTTAATAGAGACCTTTACAAGCAGATATTACGGGAAGCCTGGCTGGAGAAGTTGGGACCTCCATCTAATTAGGTAGTGTTTGGATATTGGATTTGTGAAGGAATTTGCTGAGGGAGGAGAAAAAAACAGTTTCTATTTTTTAATCTTTCCAATTGTTGTTTCCCATGCCTTTTATTTTCCCAATATAAAGCCATCTACAAATCCAAAATCCAAACACAACCTTGGGGAACAAGATCATAGTTATCAAATCAACAGATTGTTGTATGTTTACAAAGAGATTTACACTCTCTTTATAGAGAGGAGAAAGCCAACATTGGGTGCCAATTGAGGCACCGAAAGCATAAAGCAAACTAAACATAATGATACCACTAGCATCACTAACATATAATACTAACATATTTTAACAATATATATGTTAAACAATTCATAAATGCTATAGAGAATGAAATAAAATGATTATGAGGCCATATTATAAGATAAAATTCTGTAAGGGCGTGATGACATAGTCTAATTGTGAAGGCATTTGGCTTCACCGCAAGAGATGTGGTTCCAAATCCCACCAACCATAGTTTTTTATACTGTTCAAAAATAAACCCAAAAACCTCAAAACGTTTCAAATAAGAGATGGTAGTTGAGAACCCTTTTTTTTAAACATAAGACAATATAAATGAAATCTTGCAAACTTGTTATTCAAGGAGGGAAAAATTTATGGAACCATTGAATCCAACTAATCCGACCAATACATATTAAATTATGTTTTTTTTTATATAAGAGAACAGCAATAGATATTTCAGTTTTGACCTTGAACATACTTACAGGGTGTAGTTTTACATGTTTTCTCATCAAGGAAAGGTTCAGAGCGTGTCTAACTAGATCCTATTTAATCCTTCAATCACCAAATTAGCAGCACATTATGCATGGAAGTTGGTTATTTTCACATAAAAGATGTTGCATTCTGACAATTAAAAAATAAATAAATAATTCCAAATTTGCTGGGTCAGGTATTAATGCATATACCTATACCAAATAAATGTTGTATGTATTATGAAACAAAGTAGCAAGAAGCATCAAAACAAAGAGGATTGGACAGGTATTAATACATACATCAGGTTGTTGTAGTTGTAGCTGATGATATTCCTCAATACTATTACCAGCCCTCTCAAAAACTAGCTAACTTCATAATTGCCTTCTTGTTGTGAATTTGATTTAATTTCTCATGTTTAACTTGACCCATAATATCCTCGTTAATTAGAGACACAAATTGATTTTTAAGACATTCATGGATTGTCATACTCCCATTTAAAACAGCACCATCTTTTCCATGAAATGTGATGGGAACCAAAACCTTTTCTCGAGCCACAAACAGCAAGACAGCCAACTCAATGAGTTTTCCTTCCATGGCATGGTGGTAAGCTAACTCTTCAACATCCCTGGTGAACCCTGCAGCCAACTTGTTCATGGCCAAAGCCTCTCTCAGCAACAAGTAATTGAAGAAGAAAATTATATTAGCTCACTCATCAACTTCAGAATAAAAACCAAACATATGTATTGTCGGAAGACAAAGTGTTACTATCAAGTCAAAAGCAGATTGTTCTCCACACTCATACAGCATACATAGAGTAGTTCTGCTCAATCAGTACAATAAATTTAAAATAAATAAATAAAAGGAAAAATCAGAGTTAAGGAGAAAAAAACATTGCCAAAATAGGAACAATAACCACTACACGAATCTTTTACCATTTTTTATTTTGTACCTCACTTTATAAAGTGCTAGTTCAAGCGGGGTCATCGCATCGTACCTACGAGCTCCGTAGTGAAGAAACAATTGAGCTAAGTCATAAGATGAAAACATAATGGCATGATGCAGCAGGTGGTAACCGTCTATAACATTTTTTGGATCTATGCCCAACCTCCCTTCCAGCAATGCAGTGGCACATTTCACAGCCTCAACAATACATATATATTTTTTAAAAGAATGAATGTGGAATATGTAGATGTGCCATCTGTAAAAGGCGGGCTTGTCATGAATGAGATAAGACTCTCATCATCATATGCAAGAATCAAACTTTCAATCTTGTCATCCCATTCATAATAACGATCATCATCGTCCCATTCCTGTTAATGTTTTGCGGTGTTTGGGAAGCCAAAAATTGGACTTCTTTTAAATTAAGGGATTGTTTGGGATGTTCTAAATAAATGCACTTTTTTACTTTTTATTAAATATGTGTTGGGTTTAAAGTGATGTGATAGAGAGGTGATGTGACTTAAATAAGATGATGTGACTTAAATAGGATAGTGACTTTTTGACTTTTTATCTTTTTTCAGCTATGCCAAACTTGGCCTAAATTCACAAAAAAATAAAATAGGCTAAAATAGCTAATAAGACAAAATATCACATTAAATTCATAATCATTTCACTTTTTCCCTCACAAATATCACATCCAATTACAAAAAAAAAATCTAGCCATCTTCCCAAACTTAATCTACTAAAATAGCTAAAAACTAAAATAGCCAACTTGTCAAATGACACCAAGATATCACTAGCATTAGTTCCAATGAGGCGGTGTCCTGAAGCTACCAAGGAAAAGTAAAATCTCAAAATTTACTATCAATGTTGGAAATTTTGGTTTATTAGGCTTATTTTGGGCCGATTTTAAGGCAAAAATTGAGTGGGCCTCGAACGTCTTTTGGGGTGGGTCCGAAGAGGTGAAGTGTTCCTTGTCGCGTGGCATGTCACACAGTGAAGACAGTTCGTCAAAACCATTTATGAGTGAATGAGAACATGACGTCGTTTTCGGGTTTGTACGGGGGCGAAATATCTTCTGCTTTCCGTACTCCTTGTACTCTGAGCTTCTCTTGACGGCGTCTACCTGGCAACACAGAAACGATGAGCTGCCCAGCGGTGGTGTGCCGGATAGACCCTCCGACGATCAAGTCAGTTCACTTGAGGAAGGGGAAGAAGACTGAGAGAGAGAGAGTGTGTTCTCTTTTGGGAAGAAGTTGCATACCTCTAACGTTCACCCTCCTTCCTATTTCAAGGCTGGCCATGCAGCCTCAAGATTATGCGCGCACTACCTCTGTTGTCCTTCCCAAGACAGGTGGCAGTACTCGCCTCTCACCACCTTACGCGTGTAAAGGCTTAATCCTCCTAACAGTACACGCAGAACTGCCTAACAGTATTGAGGCATATGTGGAGCAGATGTCCCTTCTTTCGTGCCATTGGCCCAGGTGGCACACCTGACCGCAGTATCACGACCGGCCTATTTTCCAAGAAGAACTATCGCTACAGGCGCTCAACCGCGCTATGCCCCACCGGACTGCCCCTTGGCAAAGGGGCGGCGGGGGGGACGCCCATGGACCGGGCTGGAGTTGACTGGTTCGTCGTGGCATACCGGTCGCGAGGCATGCCGGCCCCCGTCCGTTCTACCTTCATCTGAGGTTATATTGAATCTTCCCATCTCGGCTCACCGGTCAGAGACGTGTCATCCCTCCCTTGTCCACAGTTTAGCCCGAGCTATCCATAGCTCGGTCTCGCCTCTTAGCTGTGCACACCGCCAAATGTTTGCTAGTCGCAGCTCGGCCAGGCTTGGTTTCCGCCCGGTCAGCCGATCCTCGACACCGAGCAAAACAGACCCGTCCAATCCCTACTCGGCCGTACTAACGGCGCAAATCTCCCCTCTCAGGGTTCATGAAACAGAACATTTAAGTTTAAATGTGGGTTTCCTTGTGAGGTTTGTCTCACATTGAAACTTTAAGAGAGTTTTGTTGAGTTTATAAGCTCTAGCCTACAACACTTGGGTTGAGGCCCAAGGGGCACCCCAAGTTTGTAGAAGGGAGGAGTTATGGACAAAGTGAACCTTAGCCCAAACCACCACACGCGCGCCACCGTCCGAGCCGGGCGCGGGTGTGGGTTGGTTGTTGTATTAATTTTTTGGACAAAAATTCTTTTGAATTTTTTCAAAATTAATTGCAGGAAAATTTAATTAAATTCAAATTTGAATTTAATTTATGTCCTAAATTCTTTCCTTATTTAGTCCATGACAAAACATGTTCGAAACAGTCCATAACAGATGAATAACTGCTGCAATTATCTGTTGAAACAGTGCCGGATCTGTTTGAAATTCAAACTATAGCTGTGCTTTTTGAATTTGCACCTGTTCACTTACATATTGCACCAGTTCGGGTCAGATGTGCTGCCTATAAATACCAACATTTTAGACATCCGAAAACAGTTTGAAATTATTGTCTCATTGCTGTCTAGAATTTTCTACTTTTGCATTATTCTTCATATTAGATTTAGAATAAATTTAAGAGAGTATAAGAACACGAGGTTCTAGTTCGCCGTACAAATTTGTGTGGAGTGCTACTACAAGTTTATAAAGATCATTGTATCCTGGGAGATAGACGCCACTCAACCGTAAGCACCGTAGCGGGGCAAATCTGTCTTAAGGACAAAGTGTCACACACTCGACTTGATCTTTAATTATTTATTCGGTTCAACAAAATAAATTCTGTAAGTTTTATTTTATTTCGTTTGAATTATTTCAATTTATTTTATTTACACAAAAGATTATTCCAACAATCAATTCATTCAATATTTCCTTTTTTTCAGAGGACAAACATTCACATTTAAATTATGTGTTAGATATACTAATTTGGTTACTGGGTACAATCTTTTTCCTTACAATGTATTAGCCAAATTCCCGTTCTGTTCAGTTTGGATGCAAGATAAATCCCCCAAAAAAGGTGTAGCCTTGCTGAAGCTAAAATTGTGTTTATCATCTCGTGAAACTGTTCGGTAGTAAATTAATAAATAAGCTTTTGAGAGATTTTTCATCTTCTATCTAAAAGACTTGGGGAAGAGTAAACTCTAAGTTGATTCTTTTTCGATTAAACCCAAAAACACTAACATTTAATTACAGAAACACAAAGACAAACACATAATTCATACGCATAACATGTAGAGATAGGATAAGAGGAACGCGGATCGAACATACCGACACGTTTTGTCAGCGTCATTGAAGAAAGAGAGAGAGACAGTGATGAGTGAGAGAATGACACAACCCAAACGCCTAACGGTGATACCATTGTCACTATCATCGACCAGCAATAGTAATTAGCTTGTCATGTACGCTACCGTAGGTTAAAGAAGTATTGAAGTCCCCAAACGGGGCCTAATTATAATAACGTTGAATCAATTTTTTCTTTCCATTTTTTTTTTTTTTTTTCAATGGCGGGCTTTTGTTTAGGTGAAATATTAGACTTGTAAATTTATTAATAATAAAATATTAGGCTTGTTTTTAATTTAGTAATAATAATAAAATAAAATTTATTTTTACTTTTATTTTTTTATTTTTTAAATAATTAATTTAGTTGAATTGTTTTTATTTATAATAAATTATAAATAAAAATCTAGAGGTGCAACTCGGGCGAATAAATTATAAATAAAAATCTAGAGGTGCAATTTGGGCGGGCTCAACCCAAGCAACTCGAGCCTAACCCAAATTTTTTTAGGGTCTGGACAAAATATTTTCAAATTTGGTACGAGCTTGGACAAAAATTCAGAAGCCTAAATTAAATTTGAGCGGACTTGGGTAAAAACGTCAAACAACCCGAACAACCCGAAACTCGAATTATACATATATAGATATATAAAAATATTAAATATACATATAAATTATTAGCCATTATATGATATTAAAACAATTTATATTATTAAATCATATTGAATATATATTATATATACAAATAATATAAAATCTTACTTTTTTTTCTTTTTATTTTCACTCATATACAAGGACTATTATAGTGGCATCTCTCTTACATTATATAAATTATTTGTTTTGATGGTATTAATGATTTTCTATACATAAAAAAAATTGTAGATAGAATCAAATTTTAATAATTTAATAATGTAGCTGCAAAAAAATAAAAAAATAAACTAAAATTCATTTACAATTCGGGCAACTCAGGCAATTCGAGTTTAACTTGGGCCGGGCTTAGGCAGACAACCTCGGGTTACAGTTCGGGCTTGGGCAGGTCTTAGCACAACTTGGACTGAGTTTGAACAACCTCTCAACCCGACCGAACCCGCCCGAGTTGCATCCCTATAAAAACCACACCTAACAATATAATTACACTAATTTTTCTTTTAGTAAAATTAAAAAAAGTAAAACTAGTGTGGATGGTATAAAAATCAGCTTGCAATCAAAAATTTATGGTTCGATTAAATCTTTGAATCAAAAGTTGATTTCCAAATTATTAATTTTTTTTTTTTTAAATTGAGTTTTTAAATCATGTAATTTTGATCAAAAATTGATATCTAAAAAATAAAATTAAAAATTGTGTGAAGTGAAAGAGTGACTAAGACCAAGAAAAACAAAATACATGGGCTTGGTTTGGGGTGTACTAATAAGTACATATTTTTTTTATCTTTTTATTTTTTTTGGATCACATCACCTCTTTATTTTTCTATATATCTTTTCACAAAAAATCAAAAAGTAAACTTATTTAAATCATCCCAAACCACAATATAGAGTCCATTGCACCAAAAAAAAGTAGGGAGATTTACAAATCAGTGGATTTTTTAAAAAGTATTTTCAAATACATAAAAAATTTTATAATTTTAATTATTAGTGTTTATAAACTTTATCATTAATGTGTAATTTTTTTTTTTCTAAATTTGTACTGAAATATAATTTCCCCAAAAAAGTCACTACAAGAAAATTAGCCTATAACAACGTTTTTGTTATGGCATTTTTTCAAAAAACGTTGTTTCAAAGGTTTTCAAAATATTTTGTAAGCAACTCATTTTAAAAAACACGCGTACTTGGTGTACTAAAATATTTCCCCTTTTAAGGCCCACGCATTTTTCCATTTCTCTCAGTCCCGAGATAGATCTAGGGTTTTCTGTCTTTTCATCACTCTTGTTTCTTATGATGAAAGTTCACTAGATCGAGCATCTAGGCTTCGATTCACGATCGTAATCTCTATCCAACTCTCTCCAGCTTGGCTCAAAACTCTCGATCAATCTGATTTAAACTCAGGTCTGTATCTACGATCTCAGATCTATTTGATATATATATATATATATATAAAATACTAATTTATGTTAAAGAGAACACAGATCAATCGATTGATTGATTTTAGTTTATTGATTGCGATCGAACACTCTCTCTAGATTTGATCAATTGATTGTTTTCATTTAGATCTGTAAGTTTTAGTCCCTATGCACATACTAACATCCTCAAACCGAATTTATGTCTGACTCATTCGTGGTGATCTTTGCGTTTGTGCTTCATATGCAATTCTAGGGTTAGTCTATTGAGGCTAATCGCTGCTCATAGACTATATGGAAACAAGTGAGCAATGATTGCTAGGCTCTTCCTTGGTAGAACTGACAATGAAATGAAGAACCATTGGCATGTAATAATGGCTAGAAAATATAGAGAACAGTCCAATGCTTATAGGAAGAGGAAGATAGATCAATCTGTTCACACAAGATTGGAGGGAGAAGATCCAAGCTTTGTGTACAGAGTCACAAAACAACCATCACAACCATATTGTGTCAATTTTTGCAGCAGTAATGTCTCTCTCTTCCTCACAATGGGTTTTGGGCACTGCAGACACCTGATTTCCACTCTGGTGAGTCTTGTTTGATTCCCTTCTTCCTTACCTTGCTTATGATTTGTTTGGCCCTGTAGTTTGTGCATTTGGGTTTTTCTACTACTTTCCATAAATTGGCTTCCACTGTTTCTTGTGTTCAATTATTCTTTTGCAAACATGGATTGATACAAACCCTTTTTTCTTTCTCAACTTTTCATGTATTGATTTAAAGTTTTTGTAGGTATTTTACATGCATATAATCTAATTACAAAAGATTGTGTCTAATTTTGTGATTGAATTTTGTGCATTTAAAAATTTTCAAGTTATTGCTTCTACACAAGGATTAATGTAGCAAACACTCTCTTTCAAACTAGTTTGGCAATGACTTAAAACTATTTCAAAAAAAAAAAAAATTACCTCTTTGACCATAAATTATTATTTAGATGTTGCCACGTGCTCATCCAATGATATATTATCATTTCTCAACCATTTCTTTCATTTTTAGCCCTGCCATTGGTTGGGCATACCATCAACGTGAATTTTTTGAAAGGCAGGATAATTAGTCCCATTCAAAAATGAGTGCAAATTTGTTCAAACACTAAAATTGTGTTTGGATTATAAATTTATATAGAGATTTGCAAAGGTAAAAATAAAAGGTGAGATAAAAGTAAATGAAATACAAGTTAATATAAGTGATAAATAAGTGTGAATTTACACAAAAATGTTTGTTGGTCCATCACATTAATCAACATTGACTTCATCTTTCTGAATGGTTGTAGTTTTGTACAGTACAGGTTCTGTGAGTGTAGGATTTTTACAAAGAATGTTACATAAATTTTCAAGCTATGTTGATATATTACCGTTATTAACTAGTGAAGGAAGTTGTTATCTTAATTGATGTGTAGTGAAATTTGCAAGCACAAAAAGAGTACTGAACACCTGATTAGGAAGCTTCTATTCAAGAGGCTTGTCCGTGAAATTGCTCATGACTTCAAGGTAATTGAAGGATCGTAATTGTTAACCATTGTCATATTTACTGTAATTATTTAGGAATTTTTTTTTTAATTATGTTTTTGATTAGTAGTGTATGTTAATGTTAATGTTTTTTATTTTTTTTTATTTTTTTTTTTTTGGGTTAGGTTGTAGATTTGAATAGGCTACATTATTTGATGTCTGACTGAAATTTTGAATGGAATGCTATTGTTTATGTTCTTTAGTTTTCAAATTATTATCTCTTATATAATTTGTTACTGATTTACTTGTGTATATGTGTGTGTCTGGAAAACTTTTATTTATGAAAGACATCACTCTTTAACAAGTTTGAGCCCCCTCTCTCTATACGTATGTGTGTATTCTTTCTGAATTCAATCATTGTTGTTGCCTTTATCAGGTTAAGCTTGAATGACTGCAATAACTGTAGGTTAAACAAATGCCTATTTGTTTGAATTAAATTTTTTTATCATTGTTTTTTTTTTTTTAACATGATTCCAAAGCATTATTGACTATGACTTCTCTATTTTGACTTTTTATTTGCCAATTTTGTTTTGTGAAAGTAGTTTGTGGCCCTTTCAAGAGTTTCATATGATAAATTTGAGTATGGATTTATTGACAGTGTCCAATAAAGCATCTACCTTATTGTTCCTCTTTGGCACCTATCACTCTCGATAGAAAATACCAAATGTGGTTTAAATAATTTATGGTTTTTAGTTGACAAGTTTTGTCTGTGAGTTTTGTCATTTTAATCTACTTTGAAATTCTATATTTTTAAAAGGAGTAGTGTGCATTAAAGCTATTCTCCATATAATTTTCTCTCTAATTTATATGAATTATGTGCAAGTTTCTCATGTCCATCATGGTTTAAAATTTTTCTTATTGCTAGCTATTTGATTTCTTTATGAAATTACTGAGAATGTTAGTTTACCTGAAATATGCAAGAAAAACCATGGACATAGTCGTTCAATAGAAAAGAGGCCAGTTGCATAAAGTAAATCATCACTTCCTAATGTTGCAGATTACCCATCTGAATATCACGTATGACCTGTTTCCTTACAGCTAATTAATACTTTGTTGGAATAATAAGAAGTGTGTGAGATAATTTCTTCTTTTTTTCTCTATCTATTCAATTTTATTAAATTGTTCATGTAGTTAACTAGGTGAGATGATTGCTAAAATTTTTTATTTAGGAAAGTAGAAAGACAAAACTAGAAACAAAAGGAGTTCAGCAAAAAGAAATTCTTGTTCGATATGAATTTTTGACATCAGCTAGTTTAGATAATGAATTTTTTTAGAACTCAACAAGTTTTACACTTGAATTATCATTTCTATGCTTACTAATTAATTTCACCGCAAAAATTAGGCTACAAGCATGAGAAACACACATTCAAGTCAGAGAAACCATCTTGTTCCTCCCTATTTCTCTGATCTCTACTAGTGTGAATGAACCTCTATGGTCCAATAGTTCTGATATATGCACCTTAAAAGCTGAAGTGTTCCTTTTTTTTTTTCTTTTTTAATTGTTGAACTTAAATAATATGCTTTTCATAATTTGATTATATTAAATCTAGAACAAGCAAGAAATATACAAGTTCTTATTATAATGGTGATTTATGTATATAAAAAATTAAGGTTTTAGAGATTAAAATTTAAAGACAAAATTATTTTTAAGGACCAAATAATTTTGTTGTGAAAAGTGTCATTATTATATTTTTAACAACAAAAATTAGACATTAGTGATGAATTATTATCTTTTTGAGACCAAATTTTTTTGTCTAAAAAAATAAACCATTTTGAGACCAAATTTTTTGTCTCAAAAAATAAATCATTTTGAGATTAAATTATTTTGTCCCTAAAAGTCTATTTATTAGTGACATTTTCAAAATTTTGTCACTAAAAGCCTTGTTTTTAACTTTTCGAGATGACCTTTTAACCACTATCTTCATAACGATAGAAATTGGTCCCTAAACGTCTTTTGTAACAAAATTTTCACTTTCATGGATCAAAACACTTGGTCTCTAAAAGTCTTATATGTTGTAGTGCATGTTAGCTTTTATCTCTTCATGCTTTTGATAGTATATATTGCTTTGTTCTAGATTTTCTTCAAAAGGATTATAATTTGCAACTGTTATTTATTTATTTGTAGGTCAAAAGGATAATTTTGCTGAGGGAAAGATCTAATTCAAGATGTAAGAGGAAGTTGTTGCTTTTTTTTCTTTTTTTTTTACAGGCCCAAAATTAAAATCTTGTTAGAATTTTTTTATTTTTTATTTTTGGTAAGAGCATTAAAATATCCAAATATCAGGGTGAAGTTTAGAACTTAAATATGCTTCTATGAACATGTATTGTTTATTTTTTTTCTATCAAATATCAAATTTGATGGTTTTATTTCATCAACTTTTACTTTTATTTTTATTTTGGCTATGTCGTGCATTATGATTTGTGCAAATTGGAATGTGAATAAATAACCAGCCAGCTCAACAACATATTTTATATTAATTAAATTATGAAATAAAGAAAAAAAAGATGGCGTTTTTGTTCAAAACGTCACTATATCCTGTGACGTCATCAGTTATTATTTTAATGGATTGCATATTATACCGATGTTTATGAAAATGCCACTGCCAGTATTAGCGACGTTCATAAAGCGCCTTATACCTATGGCAACGGCCATGTCAGCAACGTAAAGTAGAAACGTTGGCATACCCTTTTGGCAACGTTTTTGCCATTTATAGCGGCATTTTTGAAACGGCGGAAAAGGCAATTTTTCCTGCAATGAGTATTGCCACTTCAAATTATAAATAAATTTAGTTTAAAAATTTAATCATCGCATGATTTCTCATAGACATTAGGTCAACACAATAATCTTTAAAAGTTTGCAACCTGAATCCTTGTAATGTAAAAGTGAACAGCGGTTCTACCATCCCAAACGAACAAACTCAAAAATTGTTCAAAATCTATAATTAATGGTCAAGATTGATTTATAGTATAATCCCACAATAATAAGATTAAATCTATACTATTGATATTAAAATTTGGATAAAATTTTTTTTTTTTTTTTTTATCAAGGTAACCAGACTTTCTCAAAAGTGAAATACAAGTATGCATTTGTTTGGTTTGAGTGCTTACGCCAATTTAGTTGAAATTTGCTCTTTAAGCGCTGATGCTATTTTTTTTTAATTCTCTCTTTTAATGTAATTGTGTTATATTCCTTGTACTCTTTATTATATTAATATAATTATATTTTGATAAAAAAAAATTAAAAAAATCAACAGGAAAACAGTAGACATGTGACTATTAAAGAAGCCAGTACTTAGTATAAATAGGTTATCATTGGAGTTAAGATGACCACTAAAACTGACCTTTAGGGGTCAAGTCAAGTGGTGCGTGGTTGGTTTCTCAACATTCAGGATCATCTTATTCAGGGAAGGAAAATAAATAAAAAAGCATAAATCGATTATAGAATTAGACACAACTACTATTATAAATGTGTGAGAGAATTGTGTTTATTTTTGTCATTAAATAAAAGAATAGACAATATGTGAGCTTCCTGCTAACTTCCTATATAGCATATGCGGTCATGGAAGTATAGGGTAGCTCCGGTCCGACAACTTGTGTATATATCTCTAATGTTCAGTCTGCATCGGCGGGGCTCAACAAGATCTGTAATGCTTATGAGAATTTCCACTTGTTAGTTTAACCATAATTCCTATCACATTTATCTAACCCACAAGGGCGAGTAGTAAATTTAAAAGTTTTGGATTAATATGGATGTCGTCTCTGAGAGTTAACCCATATTTATGTTTCCCAAATTATAGATATTAATGTTGTGATTAAATTTGGATGTACTTATAATTTTTTATTTATTATATAAGAATAGAATTTTTTTATAAAAGAAACTAGTTAGTTACGTTCGATTATTATTATTTTTATTTTTATTAACGTATATAGATGATCACCGCAGTCACTTTATCCTTTAAATATGTCTTTCATTTTAAGTAATGAACCGTGATATGGTGTTAATTTGTTTAAAAGATTGATGAGTCAATAGGGGAAAGAAAGATGCGTGGCTATGTTGCGTGCACTGTACGCTATGATTGACGAAGGAAAGTGCATTGAAATTTCCTCCTATTTGCATAGTGATTACAACAAAAGTTGAAAGAAAATGCTTCCCAGTGCCATCGCCATCGCCATCGTGTACTATTCTATTTCAATTACGAAGTTAAAAACAAAAACAAAAACAAATTCTGCGAAGCGTGCATGTCCACTTATTTTTGTACTTGACCTTACAAGCTGATATATTATGAGGAAACAACCATACGCATGCAAATAAATAATAAATAATTATTGTATAATTCAATTTATTTTTTATTTTAGAATTACACAAACCGTAACATGTTGGTGGAGATGGGGGAGAGACTTAGGCTCCGTTTGGTGGAGTTTTCAAATTAAAAACAAAAACAAATTCTGTGAAGCGTGCATGTCCACTTATTTTTGTACTTGACCTTACAAGCTGATATATTATGAGAAAACAACCATACGCATGCAAATAAATAAATAAATAATTATTGTATTATTCAATTTATTTTTTATTTTAGAATTCCACAAACCGTAACATGTTGGTGGAGATGGGGGAGAGACTTAAACTTTGGCACTTGATTAGCAAGTCGACATAAATGCCATCAAATTACAAAGTCTTTAAAACAATTAACTCACCTATACTATATATTAAGTAAAAGGAAATTTTTAACCCTAAGGTCTGTGGGAGTTTCAATATCTCAATCTGAATTTTCTAAATTTTTCATTTTTTTAAAAAAAAAAACTCAGCATTTATTGATATTGTTAAAATCTCCTGATCAGCATTTATTAACTTTTTTTCAATCCACATGTCTTTCCACATGCCTACATTTATTGATTTGGTCAAAATTCCTTGATCAACATTTAAAATCTCCTCATGCAAATAATTATAGATACAATCTGTATATAGTTATTGCAATACCCTTTTTAACTTCTCCTATATACTATGGTTAATGATAAGATTGTTAAATTATTTTTATAAAAAACTTTAAAAAACATAATTTATATATTAAAAAAAATCTAAAACAAATATAAATATTTATAATTATTCCGTGCATAGCACGGGTGATAGGCTAGTATAGTTTAAGAGAAAAGTTATGGATCATGAAAGAATTATGATCCTTAAATTACCTTGATTAGTGTGTGGAGCTTTATTCTAAGTGTAATCCAAGGGTTACAAATCTTTCATGATTATTTTCATAAAAAGTAAATTTATGATCCTTAGATTACCTTGATTAGTATGTGGGGTTTTATTCTAAGTGTAATTCAAGGGTCACAAACCTTTCATGATTATTTTTATGAAACGTTTTTTATGATACCTAACATTACTTATAGTTTAAATGCATGAGATTATCTTTCTATATTCTCTTATTTAGAAACACTCAACATCGTGAATCATTGTCACAAATTCTCGCTTCTCTAAATTTTCACATGATTTAACTCGATAGTCCAATTTTTAAGAGTAATGTTACGAATTCTAAAAGAATTTATAAAAAATTCTATACTTATAGGGGTGTAGATTTCACTCATATAATTAAGGCATTCATTGATTATTATGCAATCTTTTTGATAAATCACTATAATAGTTCTATAAAATTTAAAATTAAATCAAAGAAATTCTTAGAAACCAATAAAACCGAGCGTATAAAACGAAGTTTGATTTGGTTCAATTTTTTTATTTTTTAAAAAAAATCAATGTAGTTCGATTTGGTTCGGACCACTTGCCCAGTGTGTTTGGTTTGAGTTTTCTGGATTAAATTTTTTTTAAATTGATTTTTTTGGTTTTCGTGTTTTTTTTGTTTTTAGTGAATATTTTTAAAATTTTAAACATTTTTTTTTACTTTTTTAGATGTACCTTACTTAGATGTATTTAAAAAGTAATAGATGCACCTTACTTATATGTATCTAAAAAGTAAAAATTTTGTGAAAAAATCTTTTAAAAAATTAATAAATACATAAAAATACAAAAAATGTACTGAATTCTTGTATTTTTTTATATTTTTGGTATTTAGTGAATTTTTAAAAGATTTTTTTTACAATTTTTTTACTTTTTAGGTGTATTTATGTTATGTGTGTCTTAAAAGTAAAAAAATTGCTTAAAATATTAAAAAAATTTAGTAAAAACAAAAAAACACAAAAAATAAGAAAGTAAAATTTTCTAAAAAATATTTTTTGAAAAGTGAAAACAAGCAAGGCGGAGGAAGTGAAAAAAAAGACAGCATACGAGACTAAACAAGCCCCAACGGTACAATTACCCACACGATAATCACGTTGGTGTGTTTTTTTGGTCCGTGATTGTCCCTCATAAACCTGCTTTATTCTACATAATAACACCACCCCAAGTATCCTTGGTTCCCATGCAGCTTCCAGGAAGGTGAACGTGGATAGAACATAGAGAAATGGATGTATGCTACCAATGAAAGTACTGCTCCTCCCTTCTCTTTATATATATCTCTACCTCCGATTGGTTTGAATGGCTATTAAACAACTCTCTCTCTCTCTCTCTCTCTCTCATGTCATTCTCTACAATGGCAATTGCCGATGATCCGTTTCTGTTCGAAGACTACTTTCCATCAATGGTTGAGAGGCTCGGCGCAGAGGGGTTCATGGGGGAGCTATGCAATGGGTTCCTCTTGTTGATGGACGTGGAAAAGGGTCTGATAACGTTCGAGAGCTTGAAGAGAAACACAGTGATACTGGGATTGGAGGACATGAGAGACGACGAGCTCGTGTGCATGTTGACAGAGGGAGACTTGGATGGAGATGGAGCTCTCAGTCAGATGGAGTTTTGCATTCTCATGTTTAGATTGAGTCCTGGGTTAATGGATGGATCCAAGCTTTGGATGGAAGAGATGGGTGTAATCTAAAAATTAAATAATTAATGTAGGGCTAGCTCTATTGTCTGGTTTAGTTTCATGATTTTTAGTATTCCCAAAAATAAAGTATATGTTCTTCATTTGGATTGTAACACGTGATGCAAATTTAATAAACATTTAATAAAGATTGATGTTATAATCTTGGACTGGCATATCTTTCACTTCAACTGCTTTGTTCAATTCATGTGGCTATATATGAATACCCGTAAGGGACCATTAGGGAGGGAAAAGGGTAGGGACCGTCAAGTAAGGTGAAGGGGTGGAACAATTTCTCGATAGGAGTTGGATCATTTGAGAGAAAAATGAATGGAGGAGAGTCGAAACCGGTGCTATATGGCAAGGGTAAGCACTCGCAGAGCCATAATGGAGGCCGAGCTGGTATTCATACAATCTTTGTTGACAATATTCCCTCATCCTTGAGCTTGAAGGGGCTCAATGACCTGTTCATGAAGTTTGGAATTGTTCGAGATGTATTCATTCCAAATAAGTTAAGGAAATCTTCGTGGTCCAGGTTTGGTTTTGTCAGGTATGATTGTCCTGTAGCTGCTGAAGTGGCAATCCAAAAAGCTAATGGGTTGTGGTGTGATGATAAAGCCTTGAGAGTTAAGAGAGCAGAGTTTGAAAAGAAAGCATCAGGCGGCAGAGGACGTCAAGATGGGCAACCAGGGAATGGATCTAGAAAAGAGGAGGGTGGATCTTGGTGGCTAAGGGGACAAAAAGGTCAAACAAACATAGGCGATAGGTCATATGCAGAAGAAGTGCAGCTGGGGGCCAGCAAGGAAAGTGTGGGTCTTTCGGTGGTAGCCCATGAGGCAGGTAATGGATGGCTATACGATAGCCTTATTGTTAAGTTGAAAAGCTACTACTCATTTTCAAACTTCCAAAAAGCAGTCATGGAAAAAGGATCAGCAGAAATTATGGTTAGGAGGGGGGGAGGAAGACTGGCAGTGGTGTCATTTAAATCATCTGATGATATGAAGGAAAATGCATCAATATTAAAAGATTGCTTGCAAGAATGGTGCGAATAAGTTTCAAAATGGAAGAGGTACGGGCACATAGAGCAAGAACGTGGAGTTTGGTTGAGCTGTTATGGAGTTCCACTTAATCTATGGAGTTCAGACACCTTTAAGAAGATTGGGGGATTGTGGGGTGAGGTAATCAGGTTGGATGAGGAGACAATTAACCAGTTATCTTTCAAATGTGGCCGAATTAAAATTGTTACCTCTTGTATGGGGTATATAAATTCAGTTGTTCAGGTGAGGTGTTCTGGCAGAAATTATCCAGTTAGAGTATGTGAGGAACAAGTTAGGGTATCTAAAGTTATTACAGAAGCTTGTAAGTGCTCTCTTCATGAAAGATGTAGCTCAAACAATATGGAGAACATGTATGGCAGCAATGGAGAACGAGTAGCAGAGGAGGTGGCTAAGGTGGAAGGAGAGTTGCAACTTGCAGTGACAGATATTGGTGAACAGACTGTTCAGCAGAGGAATGGCAGGGCAGCTTTGCAGAAGGATGTTGGGACGCATGGTATACAAGGGTCAGGTGAGTGGGAGGTGGACGACTCATCTCAGTCGATAGTGAGAGAAACAATCAGTCCAAGTATGGGGAATGTAAATGAGGCAGCAGCATGGAAAAGATAATGTTATTGCAACGGTAAACAAGAGCGGGAGTAATGAGAGGGAGGGAGAGGAGGAGGAAATTGTGACTCCTGGGTTTATGAAAAGTATAAGTGGATCTGGACTGGAGAGGCCTGGGATTCGAATTCAAGTATTGCTAAAGGAGGCCCAAAATAATAAGGTTGGGTCTAGGCCCAACCCAGAGGGTGTGAGTGTGGGCTTAATGGATATAGGCCAGACTGGGGAACAGAATGTGGATCGGAGAGTGATGAAACCTCAACATAGCAAGCTAGTAGGGAAGGAGAAAGCCTCTGCGCCCAGGTTGAAGGGAGAGAGTGGTAAGTTAGCTCGGAAAGAGGGGAAGGGCGGTCGAAGTGGCGGACCATCTGCTATAGGCGTGTGGCATAAAGGACCTGCATTCAGAGTTGCTGCGGCTGTTCTATCTCGGCCAAGTTCGGCTGGTGCGGCAGAGAAGGGTGATGACCAAGTCCTTCAGGAAGCACGGAAGACAATGGAGGTGGGTAAATCTTTGGGCATTAGTTTTAAAGGGAAGGAAAAGGCATGAAACTGTCTTAGTTTAGACGGGTTTCATGGGTGATTTAGGTGTTTCCTTTGAGGTCTCCAATGAAGTTGCTGTCTTGGAATATTAGGGGGTTTGGTAGGCCGGAAAAGAGAAGAAGAATCAGGTATTTACTTAAAGAGAGGAAAATTGATTTTGCCTTTTTTCAAGAGACTAAGAAAGAAGGTATGTCATATGATTTGGTTCGATCGATTTGGCATGTGGATGAATTGAAATATATGTATGTTGATGCGGATGGTTCGGCTGGTGGGCTACTGTGCGTATGGAAGCCTTCAGTATTCTCATTATCTCAGTGTTGTGGATCAAGAAGGTTTCTCCTACTGTCAGGTACATTACTTCCAGATTTTAGGTGTGTTTTGGTTAATGTCTATGCGCCAAATGATGCAGTTAGTAGGAGGCAAGTGTGGAAAGTTATTACTAGTCTCAATCTAGGATTTCCAGAACCTTGGTGTGTAGGAGGGGATTTTAACGAAATTCGAAATTTAGGGGACAGAAAAGGGTGTCTAAGAAGGGACAGAGGGATGGTAGAGTTTAATGAGTTTATTGAAGGGTTAGCCTTGTATGATGTCCCAATGCATGGTAGGCAATTCACTTGGAGTAATTCAGAAGATGGGGGTAGTTAGAGTAGAATTGACAGAGTTCTTCTAGCACCTGAGTGGTTGAGTAGGTTTAATTTTAAGCTGTGGGGCCTTCCAAGGGGCGTGTCTGACCATTGCCCATTGGTATTGATGGAGGACGAAAGGGATTGGGGGCCAAAGCCATTTAGGTTCTTAAATGCTTGGTTGTTACATCCTAAATTTCTAGATGTGGTCAAACAAATGTGGGAGGCATCAAATGTCTCTGGATGGGCGGGGTTTGTCATCGCTACAAAACTTAGATATCTCAAGTTGGAATTGAAAAAGTGGAATGATGAAGTGTTCGGCAATGTTTCCTACTCCCTCAAAAAAGCAGAGGTGGAGCTTCATGAGCTTGATCTGGTGGCTGAGGCTAGAGATTTGTCAGAGGCTGAGATTGTCAGACGAAGGGAGGTCAAAAAGGAGGTGTGGTCTCTTAGGAAGAGGGATGAGTGGCTTTGGCTTCAGAAATCTAGACTAGACTAGAACTTGAAGGGGGATAAGAATACAAGGTATTTTCATATCATTGCATCCTCTAGACAGAACCGAAATTTGTTGAATTCAATTACAGTGGAAGGGGCACTCGTTGAGGATCCCATTTTGGTGAAGCAGGAGGTGTTAAAGCACTTTAAAGGATTGTTTTCTGAAAATTGGAGGAATAGGCCAAAGTTGATGGGTCCATTTAAATCTATTGGTCAGGACCAAGTGGCTGGAATTCTGGAAGCAGATTTTTCTGAAGATGAGGTGTGGAGTGCTATTAGGAATTGTGATGGGAATAAGTCTCCCGGTCCTGATGGGTTTAATCTGATGTTCTTTCAGAAGTGCTGGGATTGCTTGAAGTCTGATGTCCTTCAATTTTTCAAAGAATTTTATGCTAATGGGAAACTGGGGGCTGGTGTGAATAATTCCTTTATCACTTTGATCCCAAAAATTGAATGCCCTTCTAGTTTATCAGATTTTAGACCGATTAGTCTCATTGGGTCTATGTACAAGATTGTGGCTAAGGTTTTGTCTAATAGAATCATGAAGGTGATGCCTAAGGTGGTTGGAGAGGTTCAATCAGCGTTCTTGGGAGGTAGAAACATTTTCGATGGTGTACTCATTGCGAATGAGGTTGTTGATTGGTGGAAGAGGAGTAGGCGAAAAGGGTTGATCCTCAAGCTGGATTTTCAGAAGGCATATGACTCTGTCAGTTGGGAGTGCCTTTTATCTATGATGGAAAATTTTGGGTTCGGGGCTAGGTGGAGAGGGTGGATCAAGGAGTGTTTATCATCGGCCAGAGTGTCTGTGCTAGTGAATGGCTCCCCTACGACTGAGTTCACTCCTGAAAAAGGTCTTAGGCAAGGTGATCCGTTGTCTCCATTCCTTTTCAATCTGGTAGCTGAAGGTCTGAATATGCTAATGGATCGAGCCAGATCTTTGGGGTTGGTTAAGGGAGCTGTAGTGGGCAAAGATAAAGTGGTGGTTTCACATCTCCAATTTGCAGATGATACAATAATATTCTGTGAAGCCAATTTGGCGGAGGTCATGGTAATTAAACGAATTCTGAGGTGTTTTGAACTGGTTTCAGGGTTGAAGATTAATTTTCATAAGAGTTCCCTTTGTGGAATTGGTGTGTCTGATGAAGAGGTGAAGGAGTTTGCCTCTAGACTTAACTGTGCAAGCCAGAAGCTTCCGCTGATGTATCTTGGTCTGCCTTTGGGGTATAGTCCCAGGTTAAGAAAAACATGGAAACCAGTCATCGAAAAATGCAGAGTCAGATTAGCTTCTTGGAGGAGACGATTCCTATCTTTTGGTGGGAGGTTGGTACTTATAAAATCTGTGTTATCTAGCCTGCCTACCTATTATTTATCTATTTTCAAGATCCCTGTATCTGTGGCTAAGGTTATCGAAAGGATTCAAGCAAATTTTCTTTGGGGAGGGTCTGATTTGAAGAGAAAAGTTCACCTGGTCAGCTGGCTGGAAGCAACCAAAAGTAAAGAAAATTGGGGGTTGGGCATTAGAAGAGTCAAGATGGCTAACGAGTGCTTGTTGATTAAATGGTGGTGGAGGTTTGGAGCTGAATCAAATACTTTGTGGAAAAGAGTCTTGAGTAGCAGGTATGGGTCAGTGGGTGGAAATTGGCTGCCTAATACTTCCTTCTCTGGTTCCTACTCAAAAATCTGGAGTGGTATTATTAAT